CTTGTGAAACCAGTTTTAAGGATATACCATGTACTTCCTATACTATCCCACTCTATAAACAGCAGTTTTTGATCTAAAAAGAGGTGATGTAGGTAGTGAAGGGAGTATAAAGTTTACCACCATGAACATTTCATCGAGCAAATTGGGCTGGTGATTTTTTCAAGGATAAATAGGATAGTAAGCGATTAGAATCAAAGTACTAAAATCAAAATTGAACAAAAGAAGGTTCCACCATATGTAACGACTACTTGTGAGTCACAGAGTTCCACCTCGTTTACTAAATGCCTTTTATGTAGATTTATGAGCACATTGAGCATCATTTCTTAATAAGCCGATTTGAAGTGAGTTTTAATCCAAGAGTTTGTGACGTATATTCCATTTTTTTTTATAGTGCAGTCACCTAGTCAATTATATTCTCACTCCCTGACTCCCATGAGAATTTCATCGAGCAAATTGCGATGGCGAGTTTTCCAAGATTGCAATGCTTCACGACTCACGTAGTGAATTATATTCTTACACGCACTTTCGTACAAGGATAAACAAGACAACAAACAGTTAGAATCTGAATACCGAGATCGAAATTCAACAAAAGAAGGTTCCACCATATGTAATGACTACTTCTGAGTCCCAGAGTTCCACCTTGTTTATGGAAGGCCTGCCTTGTAGATTAAGGAGCGCATTCAGCACGCTCTCTTTATAAGCTGATTTGAAGGGTGATTTCAATCCAAGAGTTTGTGATGTATCTTCCAAAATTTATAGTGCAGTCACAGTAATATTAAAGAAGCATTGTATTGTAACCAAGGATAATATTCAGTATCATGTCAAAGATAAATGAACTGGCAAACAAACGAAAATAATAATAATAATAAAAAAGTGTATATATATACACACATGCTAGCTTTTAGAATTTCCCCATGTTGGGCATTTTTACATCTAGATGTTTTCAAACATTTAAAAAACCATGGATGCTGAGATAATGATAATGTAACTGTTATACACAAACACGTCAAATATATATGTCAAGTGCAAAAGATCCTATTTGTGATCACTCTAGCCGTGCTAAATTAGCCAAAATCGTGGTCTCTGATAGCCTGTTGACTCTAAACTGGGCGATCATTCTGTGAAGCACCATTGTTCGGAGAATCTTCCCTTAGTCTTATTCTTGGGATAATGAAGGGTTTGCAACAGAGAAGAGCAAAAATCAACTCCATTGTAAAGAGAGTCAAGCTAATCCATACAAATAATGTTTTCTTCCAATACCATATGAGTTTTTGCAGAAATGGAAGTTCCGACTCCAGCAATACAGATGCAAAATATATTTCAGGAATACCAGCACCATGAAAAAATTCGGCTCGTTGCTCAATTATCACCTTTAAGCAGGCAGTTGGCGTGGCACCTTCAATATATCCTCTAAGCTTTATGTCCAATTTCTGGGATTCTGAAGTATAACCAGTTAAAATAGGAGCAACTTTTACAAAAGTCAGCAAAAGGCGGATAGGCAGACTCATAAATCGCAACATGCACGGACGCCTTAAGCTTGCAAGAGTTCTACCATCGGCAGCAAGGAAATCTGCTCTAACCTTCGTTGGAGACGGAAAATAAATAAGCTATTAAATAAATTTAAATTCTACAAAGACTTGGTCCTACATTTGGCGTAGCATGATGCCACATAAAACTACTTCTTATCAAACACTGTATTCTCAAAATGGCATAACAGTGTGAATGGCTCTTAGATTCCAGATTAGCACAAAGTATTCAGAAATCCAGAAATCCCGAATCTGGGTTTCTGTAAAAGGAAAAATAGGTGCCATAAAGTTTCCAAAGAAAAAAAAAACAAGAAACTCATCGTCATAAATGAGGTTCTTATAGACATCATATTCTTCTCTTTCTATATCACAGTTAGCAACGGGCAAAACTGTGTGCTATAATGTTTTTGACTTTTTCCGAGTAAAAGGTGTTGTACGAGATGGGCGATGCTTCATGCAATACAATTGGGAAAGAAAACTTGCAGTCAGTCAGAATTATTTCACTGAATTTACATTTCTTGAAAGTCAATACAATTGAATTTAAAGGATCAAAAAAGGTGTTTGATAAGAAAGGAAAAAAAAAATATCGCAAACACAAGAAAAGAGAATAAAAAAGCCTAGTCAGTGATATAGCAGGTATCTCGTGTGGGAAAAGCTGTATCTCTAACTCTTTGTGGAAATGGCCCATCCTGAACACATAGAATGAACTTATCCAAAAATGGCACAACTTAAAAATCTCTACACTCACGGAAAGGAAACAACCTTCTCAAAGCATGTGGGAGAACTCGCATAACTTACAAAATTATACGGTTCTGAATTTCATTTTGTGGAATGCTAGGAGTCACAGGCTCATAAATCTCAAACTCGGCAGAATAAAAATTCTGAACTATGTTGAATTACACAAGCGAATATGTTGGACACAGCAGCCGAGGGGAGTGGGGGCCAGTGACCACCACTGGAATTTGGAGTTTTTAAAAAAATTAAATCATTTTTTTCCCAAAAAAATGTTTGCCCTTCAATTCTTTTTATTTTTTTCTTTTGGAATTGGACTTGCGTAATTTGAGTGGATTATTGTTAGGCCTAACTTTATGTTTAATTTGTTGCTTAGTTTGAGTGAATTGTTGTTATGCATCATTAATTTGAATTGGACTTTCTTAATTTGCGTAGCTTATTGTTAGGTTGGTTTTAATGTGCTTATGTGAACTAGACTTGCTTCAATGTGTATATATTTAATTTGAGATCAATGGATACATGATATCATGGTTGTCTATATCGAAAAAGATGCATTTGATAAAGTTGAAAATGATGACACTATACGGTTTTTTAAAGTATGAAAGCCGTATAGAACAATTCTAAAAAATTGTGACAGTTTTAATATTATTGAGTATTGCTTTGTTTGATAGTTAATTTTGCCCCTACTGAACTTAGTTCCTGGCTCCGCCGCTGGTTTGACAGGACCAAATTTCAACAATGTCGACTTATCAATATGGCTGATTACTGATATAGACCTACATAATGTAATGGAAATGACACATAACACATACCTGAAAAATCCCAAGATTTTGGTTGTAGTCAGACTCAGGCAATGTCAATGAAACTGTAACCTGCAACTTATGGTTAGGAGGTATAACCCTCAACCCAACAGCCTTCCCAATTTCAGGGTTCTTCACAAGATATGCATCCTTACTTACCTCCGGGCATGCTGTTATTGGTAGAAATGCCACCGGACTCTTCTCCGTGTAATCAAAATTCAAACTTCCTTTCATTCTTATTGGCTCCTCCACCACCCTCTTAATCAGTAATCCACCAATCACAAATGCTGATATCAACAATCCCGTCAATACAATGCACACATAACCGGACCACAACAATCCCCATCCGCACTTCAAGCCTAATTTCCACATTGACTTGTGCTCTTTTAACCATTCATACACAGATGGAGACACATTTTCACATATAAAAGTCCAAATTCCTATAATCTTTTGAATTAAATGCAGTCTAGCACGCCTAAAAACCCCAAATGGATTAATTGCAAACAAGCATGAGTAATAAATTAACCAAATTGGAAACATGAAAAAACCAACCATCAAATTAACTTGAAAGCCAATGGCTTTTATTACTAAACCAGCTATTAATAACAGAAGATTTGAATTTGTATCATGGGTTTCCCTCAAATTTGACTCATCTCCAACAATATCATTCCTTTCATTGTTTGCATCCGTAACTACGGAATGTTCACCATTCTTCTCTTTATCCTCTTCATTTACAATACTTTCTGAATTTCCCAAAATATATTTGACCTCCACAGAACCAGAAGGCTCCATTTTTTCTGAATTTTCAAATTGCCTCTCGCTTTCCTTAATTTTGCGGGACAGTGTGGGCTTTCTATTTCTGGCATTCACGTAATCCTCCAAACTAACTGAAGAACGAGGCTCTGAGTACTCCACCGTGTCTGTGTCGGAGGATGGTCGATGATCAGTAGATCGGCGGCGGCGTAGAGTCGACGGAGGTGAAGATTTATTTGACGTCAACGGGGAACGATCGGATTCGATTTTTTCGGAAAAGGTTTCAACACAGTCGTAAAATGGAAAATCATCAAGCGCATCGTGAAATTCCTCAGCGTCGTCTGGTGCATTCATTTTCGATGCCTCCATCGAATACGTATATTTTAAATTCTATATACAATGCTTTTGAGCATGTATATGCGTGTGTATGGATTGAGAATAGTAGAATTAGGGCTTGGGTAGAGTTTATTACATTGACGAGAAGCAGAGAAATTGGAAATCAGAGATGATTGGAGTTGTACCTTCGGCTATTAGAGTTGTGCATATTCTGCGGAGCACGAAACTCGAAGTTCGGCACTGTAGCTGAGTACAATCGGTGCAAAGAGAAGCTGCGTAAATCGCATGATTGTGGGATTACCCAATACGCGCCTTTTAATATTTTTCGCTTGTTGCGATTTTGATACAACTGATAAGGTGTTATTAGAGCACGTTTCGAGTAGCTTTTGGAATAAACTATCTTAATTTGTGTTTAGAATAAAATTGAACATGATCTGATTCGGTTCGGTTTAACTCGATTCTAAAGAGAATCGAACAAAACTCAAATTTTCGGGTATTTAATAACTGGTACCAAATAGGTTTGATTCCGTTCAATTCAGTTCAGTTCCATTTTGGTTCCCGAGTTCCGTGCCATATTTAATTTTTTTTATATTTACAACAATAATATAATAATTTAATTAATGACATGATAAATCTTAATTCTTATAAAATAACATAGTCCAGTTTAAATTTATACAAATAATAAGTTCTGTAATAAGATTCATTCATCTATGTATACAAATTACCAAAAAGTAAATAATAATACGAAAACATTGGTGGCTTCGTCTCATTGATTCCTTTGCTTCAAGTCTTTAAGCCTACCTAAAAATGAAATATAAATTAGAAGTTAACAAAATTAAATTTTTTTAAATATTATTAGTACTTACCGACCATTTAAAACAATCATCAATTGCTTGATTTGCCACATTAAGAAACTCTGCAAGAAATAATTAAAAATAATAATTAATAAACATAAATCTTGATTATTGATCTTCCACCAATTTAAAA